GAGAATATGTTAACATATTATGTAATATTGTTAATATTATTAATTTAAAAATTACTAAATATTACCGGCAAAATCAATATTCATAAAACATTTACAACTACACTAAAAACATAATCTAATTTCGTATCGTAAAAATATTGATATCATTAACTTTAAACTTTAATAACTTTTTTATTTTTTAACTTAAATAAACAAATTTGATATCAAATAATAGAGTAATAAATCACAATTAAATTGATATACTAGATGGTCAAAACAATGGTTTAAATAACAAAATATATCAAGGTAAAGTTATAGGTGTTAATAATTTAGGTACAAAAATTATTTTCGTGTTTTTAAAACGCGCGTGATTTCAGACACATTGTTGGGACCAATTGATTCCAATGCATTGTTATTAATTTGAATACACGTAAATAAACAGTAAATGCAGTGATTATCATAAAAATGGTTAAAATACAAGAATTTTCAGATGCAATTCGCCAACAAATGTATGATATGAGAGTCAGCACCGGAAAGTCATACGCAAAAATAGCGGAACTGTTTACAACAACTGATAATACTGTCCGATCAATTGTAAAGAAAGTCGAAAAGTACGGGACAGTTAGAAATCTCGCAAGAAGTGGTCGAAAAAGATGTACCAGTGCTAAACAGGACAGGATATTGAGTCGAATTGTGGCAAAAAATAAGAAGTTGACCACCGATGAGATTAAGGAAGAGTTGGCCGCCAGAAACATTTTGTGTCACCGAAACACTATTAGACACCGGATTCAAGAAATGGGTTATTACAGTGGTATTGCGCGAAGACGTCCAATGATAAGCCTAACAAATCAGAGAAAACGATTAGACTTTGCACGAAAGTACATCCGGATGCCTATGTCATACTGGAGGAAGGTCTTGTGGTCAGATGAGTCAAAATTTGAGATTATTAGTACTAAACGTCGCCAACGAGTGTTTAAAAAGAGAGGCGAAAGCATTAATCCTGATAATATATGTCCAACTGTGAAGCACTCGAAATCAGTTATGGTATGGGGGTGTATGACAGGCCAGGGAGTTGGCCATTTGGTCGAAATTCCATCAACTATGGACCGCTACATTTACGTTAACGATATTTTGACCCCACATTTGCTTCAGAGTGCCAGAGATCTACAAATAAGCGATGATTTTTTATTTCAAGCGGACAACGACCCAAAGCACACATCAAAATTGGCAAAGAAATGGTTGTCTGACAATCAAATTGAGACACTTGAGTGGCCGCCACAGAGCCCTGACCTCAATATTATTGAACATCTATGGGATGAATTGGACAGACGTGTGCCAAAGAGCGAAAGAAAAAGTTTTTCTGCGTTTAAAGAGTCGTTATTTAATGTCTGGAAAAATATACCTGAAGAAGTCACAGAAAAGCTGATCCAAAGTGTTCCAAGAAGATTGCAGGCTGTGATTGATGCCAACGGAGGCAATACTCGATATTAATATTGTTTTTACTAAATTAATAGCTTTATTTTGTTAATAATATTTAAAGTTTTGATTTCACGAAAATACTTTTTGTACATAACTTTTTTTACCATTTCTTACTTCTTATGCTTTTTTATAGATAATATGATAATTAATGCAATTTTATTTATTGACTTATAAACTTTGAAAAGTGTTCTTTCATTTGATATCAAATTTGTTTATTTAAGTTAAAAAATAAAAAAGTTATTAAAGTTCAAAGTTAATGATATCAATATTTTTGCGATACGAAATTAAATTATGTTTGCAGTGTACATAACTAATAAATTTTGGGGTTATTTTATTTTGACGCTTGAAACTTGTTGCTGTATTTAAAATACATATATTGTACATTATATGCAAAGATTTAATACCCATAAAAATAATTCATGTATACAGCTGTGTGTGTGTGTGTGTGTGTGTGTGTGTGTGTGTGTAAGTGTGTAAGTGTATAGTAAGGAACTGGACTTTTTTCAAACAGCACAGGTAGTAGTTAGTAACCTGTCCTAACACAACCACACACACACATATATATACATACACACACATACATAGACACACATACATATACACACATACATACATACACACGCATACATACACACACACACACACACACACACACATATATATATATATATATATATATATATATATATATACACATACACACACATATATATATATACATACACACACACATATACATATACACATATACACACACACATAGTGTAAATGCAGGGTTGACGTCAACAACCAAAAAAAACTAACTGAGCCCTAACTGTATATATAGTGATATATATTAAAAAATGATATATAATTTTCAAGTTCGGGGTCAACCAGTAAATAGTTATACAGTCAGTCACTCAGTCAGTCAGTCAATGATATAATTATTAATAACAAAATTTATTTAATTTTTTTTTTTGAAAAAAAATTTAGTTTTAAATAGTTGTGGGCATTAAAAAAAATAACATAACTGTTGTGTATATATTTGATTTGATATATAATGTAATGTAGTGTACACTCAATGAACATATGATTATTGAATACAAGTTTTTTTTATCTCTCTCTCTCTCTCTCTCTCTCTCTCTTTCAGATGACATCAAAAAATTATAAAAATAAATAACTAAATAAAATGATTGATATGACAGTCAAACTATACAAATGAATAGTTTTTTTTCTACTAAAATGTTGTATTTTTTATGATTGAAAAATAGTTTATTCAAATAATATACAGTATATATAATATTTAGTTTTTTTTATTTTTGAAAAAAATTGGACTAATTTTTCCTAAAATTTTTAAATACCCCCAAAAAACAACTAAATAGCTATAAAGCATTTTGATGTTATTATAATATAATTTTTTTTTTAAATAAATTTATTATTATTTTATTTATTTTTTGTTTTTGTTGTTTTATTAATCATTATTTATTTAATTTTATTATTGATGTCATTTTGCTTTATATGTTATTATTAATATAAAAATATTATTATTGTTATTATTATTAAATGTTTCGCTATTTTACTTTATATTAAGATTTTGACTTTGATTTTATTGTTTATTTTAAAACTTATTATTTTATTATTTTTATTAATATTAATATTTTTTTTTTATAAATATATATATATATATATATATATATATAGATTGAGTTCACACAATATTTTTTCTTATATTTAATTTAAAAATTCACTCAATCGACACATAAAATTTAATAAAAATATTTTTAAAAAAACTATTTTTAAATATTTAAAAATTTTAAATACATTAGTAATAAAAAAATTTTGTTGTTGTTGTTGTTGGTTATGAATTAATACATAACTATAATATAAAAATTTTCATTAATAGAAAACTTATAGTTATATATATATTAAATAAAAATAAAATTGAATATCAAATTGAATATTATTATTATTATTATTAATGTATTATACGATGAAATATTAGCAATTTAAATAATTTTTACTTAAACTATATATATATATATTATAATATTATTGTAATATTAAATAAAAATATCATTTTATATAATATCAATTTCTTTTAGGTTGTAAATAATATAATAAAAAAAACTAAACCCCCAATTGTTTTACTGAAAAACAAAAACAAAACAAAATTATATACAATTTATATAGCTTTAGGCTATAAAACAATACTATTATTTTTTTGATAGAAGTATATACATGTATATAAAAATATTTTTTTAAAAAACAATGGTTTACATTATTATACTATTAATAATAATACAGTAATATTGTTGTCATTGATATTATTTCACCCATAAATATCAATTTACAAATTATATATACAGTAAATATAATAAATGTTTTTTTAAAAACAAAATTCAATTGTATTTATTTGTATTACTCCTACACTTGATTTGAAATATTTTTTTGAGATTTTTTTTTGTTTGTCGGAGATTTTCATTAACGATAGCTACAGTATAATACATAATACAAATACATAATTATTATATAAATTAAATATTATTTAAAGGGTATAACTATTTTAAAAAGATAAGAGAGAGAGAGAGAGAGAGAGAGAGAGAGAGAGAGAGAGAGAGAGAGAGAGAGAGAGAGAGAGAGAGAGAGAGAGAGAGAGAGAGATTACATAAATAATATAACTAATAGTATATATATATTATTATTATTATATATTATTAGAGCCCATAGGGTTTACCAAACATTTAGTATTAAATAACAATAATTGATTTTTTGTTGTTTGTTTGAAAAATAAAAAAAATACTTATAACCTATTTTTAATTGCACTAATTTTTTTTTAAAAATAATAATAATAATAATTAATTATCATTATAAATTTAGGGCTTTAGAAACTTAACATATATATATACAGTATATAAGTTTTAAATATAAGTCATCATCAATTTTATTAATTAAATAATAAGACTAATAATAATAATAATAATACTAATAAAAAGCAACTTTTCAATTAATACATTGAAACCACAATTAATACATTAATTGCTAACTAAAAAAAATAAATTTGATTTCAAGTTTCAACGTTACACTATATATATATATAATAAATATATACAGATATATTTGTTAATTTTTTTCAAAATAAAATTAATTATACTTATTAAATAATAATAATAAAATAAAACTTAAAATTGTAATTAATTATTCAAAAATAAAAATATTCAGATAAAACTTTTTTATTATTATTTTTTAAATCAATAAACAAATTTGGACATTAAAAAATTTAGTTCAACAATATATATATATTAATTATATGATAATAATAATTATAATACTTGTATTTAATGTACAGTATAATAATAACATTAAAATTAATTAAATATATAAAAAAAAAATTCAATCAAATCAAATATTTTTTTTTAAATATTCAATTAATATAAATTATTTTTTTCAAACACACACACACGCACACAATATTTAAATTAATAATATTTTTTTAAAAATATTTATTTTTATTTATTAATAATTACTTAAATTAAAAAAATAAATATATTTTTTATATCACTTACCGATACATGAAGTCCTATCATCCCATGAGTTGAGCACTGATTCAAGCTATACATACATAAAAAAAATTAAATAAATAAAAAAATAAATATATAAATAAATATATATATTTAAAAAAATAAATATATAAATAAATAAATAAAATTAAATATTATCCTAAATATGATATAAACTTATAATATTTATAACATTTATAAGATCTAATTAATTATGTTAATTTGATTTTTGCGTTAATTGACATGTAATCAATATATATACAGTATATTTAATATATATATCTATAATAATTATATCAATATTTTTAGTATTATCATACAATTTGATCAATAAATGTCAAAAATATATATATATATATCTGAATAATTGGTAATGCATTTAATTAATAGGAAAAATATTTATTTATTTATTATTATTATTATTATGTACTTTATTTTAGATTAAAGTAAGTTATAATAAGTTTATTGATTTTATTGTTGTTTATTATTATAATTATTAAGTGATAATTAGTATTATTATTATCAAAAAAAAAATTCACAATTAATTATCTATCAATAATTTGTTTTATACCAGTTTTTTTATTGTAAAAATATTTTTATCTAAAATTTATCTCAATTTTTTGAATCTTTATTTTAAGTTAAATTTATAAAATAAATTAGTAATTGTTTTTTTTTGCTATTAATTTCTATTTATATATTAAATATATATATATATATAAATTAATACTAATTTCAATTGTTTTTTTATAAACTAAAACACAATATTATTTTTAAAAAACATATTTAATATACTATTCCTGTATATAAAGTGATAATTTTATTATTTTCAAAAAATACATAACAATTTTACAACTCATTTGTTAAGTTTATAATTAAATATAATATTATATATATATATATATATATATATATATATATATATATAATTGTATAACATATACAACAACATTACAGATATAAATAACAACAAAAAATTACTGTTTATTATATTTTGTGTTATTTTTTATAGGAAATAAATCTCACAATTAAAACACACTGTACTGTAATATAGCAAAACAATATTAGTTTAATAACAATAATAATAATAATATAAATAAGTTATTAAAATAAAATATTAAAAAAAACTTTAACTCCGATAACAATCTATTATATATTTCACAAAATTATTATTATTATTGCGAAATGTAATTATTTTGTATTTATAATCAAATAATTTGTTTTATACATTTTTTATTATAGTTATTATAGTTTATATATTAGAAATTATTATTAATATTATTATTAAAACAATTATTTAATAAATGTATCACACATTTACAAACCCATCCCTACAATACATATATAAATATAGTTTTTATTTTTATTTTTATTTGTAGCTAATAGTGAATTAATTAATATAATAATAAATACAATTAAAAGCATTATTATTATTATTATTATTATTATTATTATTTTGATATGATTTTTTTGGGCACTAATATATGTATGCATACAATATTGTTGTTTAAAAAAAATTATTTTTATCAAACAAACAAAAAATTAATTGTTATTTTATTTTTGGATAATTTTTTTCACACACAGTATTTACATATCTATCGATTATTATTGTGTTAATTAAAACATATATATATATTGTTTTATAGTTTTTTTTATAAATAATTACAGATAAAATTAATAATTTTAATTATAAACAATTATTATATAAATAATTTATTTGAAAAAATAATTTTTTTTGAGTGTCTTTATAATTGCTATTTATTTTTTGTTTTGTAATTAGTTTTCAAATTTATAATATCATAATTATAATAAACTAAATATCAATATTTTAATATCAAAAATATATACTCAAAATTTTTTTTATAAATTTTTTAATAACAATACAAAATTGTATATAAAAATTTTCCAATATTTTTAAATTATTTTTTTTACTAAAATACTAAAATCTAATACAAGTGGGAATTATATGTCTATAATAAAAATCAAATCAAAAAATTATACTAAATATTATATAAGACATATATTTAATTTTTTTCATATGTTATTAATAAAAACCAAATAATATAATTTGTCACTCAATCATCACCATTGAAATACCCAACAAATATATATACAGTATATATATTAAACAAATATTTATTATTTTCATTATATTAAAAAGCAATCGGATTTTTATTTTTTTTTGAGTGATATATTTAGATCGACATAACATTCAATATTATGTTAACTATATATACAGTATATATATATATATATCTTATGGGAAACAAAAATATTATGTTTACTATCTATAAGTCCTATGGACTGCACCCTCACGTGCAGGCAATCAAACGGATATATTTTTGGTGGTTATCTCTCTCTCTCTCTCTCTCTCTGATGTTTAAATAATATCCGCATTGACTATGAAGTGTGTAGAGAGAGAGAGAGAGAGAGAGAGAGAGAGAGAGAGAGAGAGAGAGAGAGAGAGAGAGACTATATTTTGGCAATTTTTCATTGAAAAACGTTTTTTTCTCTTAAATTTTGATTGACTTTAAATAGTAAACACATTTATCGAGTAATTATTACCTATAGATGGATGCGGTCGTCCCTCAGGTAATGTATATCACATGTATGTACTGTTTGTATGAGTGTGTAGTTGTCTGCCTAAGTGTATGTGTGTGTGTGTGTGTGTGTGTGTGTGTACACTATATAGTATATACTAACAAAACTAACGATTGACCAAATTGTGATTGATTATTGACAAGGTCATAGGTATTTAGGTATGGCCCGAAAAAACATTACTGTATATATATATTTACACAGTATAACTGGCCACCCAACGTTCCTCTATCTATCTATGTTTAAACATTATACAAAAAAAAATGTTTGTATTATATATTAAATACTCATCAGTATATTTAACACATACACATACACATACACATACACATACACATACACATACACATACACATACACATACACATACACATACACATACACATACACATACACATACACATACACATACACATACACATACACATACACATACACATACACATACACATACACATACACATACACATACACATACACATACACATACACATACACATACACATACACATACACATACACATACACATACACATACACATACACATACACATACACATACACATACACATACACATACACATACACATACACATACACATACACATACACATACACATACACATACACATACACATACACATACACATACACATACACATACACATACACATACACATACACATACACATACACATACACATACACATACACATACACATACACATACACATACACATACACATACATATCTATATATATATATAAATGTGAATTGAATTTATGTAATAATATGGAAATTGTACCCAAAAAAAAACTATATAACATCAAAGTTTCAAAAAATTGTGTGAAATAAGTAATAAATTATAAAAATTATAAATAAATTTCTTTTTATTTTTTGTTGTTGTTATTATTATTATTTATTTTCAGTCTCATTCTCATACATACATATTCCCACTCCCTGTGCTCTCTCTCTTATTAGTTCTAAGCTCAGGTATATTCATAGCACATACCCGAGCGATGACCTAAATTATATGGTATTTCTCTCTCTCTTTCTCTCTCTCTCTCTCTCTCTCTCTCTCTCTCTCTATTTAAACATAAAACTCATCTCTTTTATTGACTATATATATATATATATTTTTTGATGCCATCAACAAAACAAAACAAAACTAAAATCAAAATATATGTATAAAACTTTTTATTTTATTACAGTATATACAGTACACAAACATTTCAATACATACATAAACACATTGTTTTTTTTGGAGTTAGAGAAAAACTAAATTATTTTTTCATTATTATTATTATGTGTTATATATTTTATATATTGAATATATTTTCTAAATAAATAAAATAAAATAAACTTTTCTTATTTTAATAATATTTGTTTCACTGAATATATATATCTGAAATGTCTTTTTAAAAAAATAACGTTTTGTTTTTGTCTGTTTGAACTAAAAACATATAAACTTTTTTTTTGTTTTGTTTCAGTCATACAAATAAACAAAACAACAAAAAATTAAAAAGAAATTTATTATTTAATAATATATTTTCACCGCTCATCTCATCCCATCATTTATTGCCAGAGAGAGAGAGAGAAAGAGAGAGAGAGAGACTGAGAGAGAGAGAGAGAGAGAGAAAGAGAGAGAGAAAGAGAGAGAGAGAGAGAGAGAGAGAGAGAACTTAAAATAAATTCAAACAAAAAAAATGTTTTCTTTTAAAATAATTTTTTTTTTAAATAATATTTTATGGATTAATATTTATTTATTTAGTTTTTTCAGTAACTTTTGAAAATGTATTTAAAAATTTATTGATTTATATCTGAAATATTTTTGTTGTTGTTGTTGTTGGAAATAATCTATTTTTAAGTTTTAAAATTTATTTCTAGTATTTAAAATAAAATTTTTTTTTATTTATTATTATTACAATTATTATTATTATTTTCAAAAAAAATATATAATTTATAACAAAATGGAAAAATATTTCTAAACACACAATAATAATAATAACAATAACAACAAAAATTATTGAATTTTAAAAACTATATATAAATCTATATATAAATTAATCATTAAAAACAACAATAAACGCTTATAATAATAATAATAATATAATAAATTTTAAATATACTAAAAATAGTAACATTTATATATGATTTGATTTGTGTGTATCATCAATAAAAAATAACTAAATAACTAAATAAATAGAAAATTGGGTACATTTTTATTAAAAATAATATTTAAATTTTTATTTATGACTTTTATTTTTTGCAACAACAAAACAAAAAAAATATTACTAATAATTGTGTGACATTTTTAAATAAAAAAAAATAATTTTTAAAGTTTTTAATATAGTTTTTTTCTATCAATATTATTGCTACTATTAATTGTTAACCCTTTTTTTGCAAATAATAGTAATAATAATAATAAAATTGTAATAACAATAATGTTTTACTAAATTTTTTTTTAATTTTATAAATTCAGGTGAATCTCATCACGATTTCTATTAAAAAGCAAAATGTTATTATTATTATTATTATTTATTTATTTCATTTCATTTAAATTGAATATTTTATATATATATATATATATTTTGTTAAAAAACAGTTATCAATACATGTTTAAAATGTTTAAATATTTTATAGTAAACACACACACATGTATTTATAGTATTTATTTTATTATTATTTTTTTAAATGTTTAAAAATATTTTTTAAAAATATATTATATAATAATAATAATAATGTATTTTTTGAGGGTCAGTAGTCATGTAATAAATATTAAACCAATTTTTATGTAAATTTTATTTGTTTCAAATTTAGATTATTATATTATTATACTGTATATGATTTTCATTACTATTTCTATTATTATTATTATTAGTATTACTATTATTAGCAAAAAAATAAAATAAAACGTTTTGTTTTTAAATATACTAAAAGTTTATCAATTTCTCTACTAAAACACAAAAAAATAAAATAACAATAAATAAAATAAATTATTTTCA